CGGCGGAAAAAGCCGTTTGCTCTACGTCACCGACATTAAAACGAAAGTCCGCTACCTCGTCGACACCGGCGCAGAAGTTAGCGTTCTTCCAGCAACGACAAAGGAGCGTCATCTCGACCCATCCTTCAATCTTCAAGCAGCCAACGGCAAGGCAATCGCGACATTCGGGAGACGGTATGCCTACCTCAACTTAGGTTTACGCAAACCTATCCACTGGATTTCCTCCTGGCTGACGTCTCTATGCCCATCATTGGCATAGATTTGCTAAACCATTACGATCTACTCGTAGATGCTCGCCGTCGACGACTGATAGATAACAACACAAAGTTATCTATTGGCGGCACCACCTATGTAGGTCCGAGTTTAGCCATCGTTAGGACTAAACAATCAGGCGACGCGTCCTACCAGGCAGTTCTGGAGAAATATCCAGAGTTACAACAACCGAAGCACACTCTTCCGTGCATAACCAGCAATGTTATGCATCACGTCACAACCACAGGTCCACCTGTGGCATCCAAAGCGCGCCGTTTAGCCCCCGATAAGCTCAAACGGCGAAAAATGAATTCGACCCATGCTCGAACTGGGCATTATCAGACCGTCAAACAGTCCTTGGGCATCGCCATTGCACATGGTTCCCAAAAAGGATAGCAACGACTGGCGTCCAACCGGTGATTACCGAAGGCTTAACGCCAAAACAACTCCGGACTGCTACCCGATACCTCACGTTTACGACTTGACCGCAACCTTATGCGGAATGAACATTTTCTCCAAAATCGACTTGGTCAAAGCGTACAACCAGATACCTATGGCAGCAGAAGATATCGCGAAAACAGCCATTATTACTCCTTTTGGCCTGTTTGAATTCCTGCGCATGCCATTTGGTCTTCGGAATGCAGCACAAACATTCCAACGCTTTATGGACGATGTCTTCCGTGGTTTGAATTTTGTTCATGTCTACATCGATGACTGTCTAATTGCGAGTCCAGATAAGGAAACTCACCTTAAACATTTGGACCTCGCATTCGAAAGACTTAAAAAACATGGCATCACAGTCAACTTACAGAAGTGTGAAATAGGAGTTGAATCACTCAGCTTCCTTGGGCATACCATTGACAACAAAGGTATACGCCCATTGAGAGATAAAGTGGCGGCTATCACAAACTATCCAGAGCCGACCACTGTGAAACATCTCCGCACTTTCAATGGCCTGGTAAGTTATTACCGAAGGTTTATCCCTAACTGTGCCTCTGTCATGAGACCACTAACAGATCTACTTCGAGGAACTGCGAAGTTCGTGTCTCTGGACAACGCGGCTAGACTTGCTTTCTCTAAAGTCAAGGAAGCCATTTCGAACGCAACCATGCTTATGCATCATGACCCCAATGCTCCTTTGAGTATTGCTGTTGATGCATCTGATTCAGCAATTGGAGCAGTTTTGCAACAGTTGACTGACAACCAGTGGCAACCGTTAGCCTTTTTCTCGAGGCGGCTGCAAGACGCGGAAACAAGATACAGTACATTTGGTAGGGAACTCCTAGCCATGTACTGTTCTGTACGCCATTTTCGACATTCTGTGGAAGGTCGTGATTTCATTATTTTCACAGACCACAAACCGTTAACGTTTTCCCTCAGCTCGGCGTCTGACAAATACTCCCCTCGTGAGTCGCGACAGCTGGATTACATTTCCCAGTTCACGTCAGACATCCGCCACATTTCTGGAGCAAACAACTCCGCAGCCGACGCACTATCTCGAATAGCTTCGATAAACTATATCGAGGGTATTGATCTCGTTGAACTAGCTCGGCGTCAAAAGGAAGACCTTGAGCTGCATCATGAGTTGTCGTCCACAACTCTCAAACTGCGACTTTGTCCTGTTGGATCAGACAAGGATACAATTTTGTGCGATGTCTCTGCTAGTCAACCACGCCCAATAGTTCCGAAGAGTTGTCGACGCAACGTCTTCAATACGTTGCACAAACTCTCTCATCCAGGTGTACGAGCCACCATTAGGCTTATCGCACAACGTTTCTGCTGGCCTGGGATGAACAAAGACGTTAAGGAGTGGGCTCAGTCGTGCTTAGCTTGTCAAAAGTGTAAAGTCACGCGACACACGAAAAGCCCTTTAGGCTCATTTCTAGCCCCAGACATGCGTTTCGACCACGTCCATATAGATATTGTAGGACCCCTACCAGAATCTAATGGATGTACTTACGTTGATCGTTTCACACGATGGCCGGAAGCAGTACCTATTAAGGATATTACTGCCGAAACAGTTGCTCGTGTTTTCGTCGAAAGATGGATCACGTCACAACCGACCGTGGGCGCCAATTTGATGTGGATTATTTCACGCTCTAACGGCACTTTTAGGTTGCACTCGGTTCCGAACGACAGCCTACCATCCACAAGCAAATGGCATGGTAGAGCGTTTCCATCGACAGCTGAAAGCTTCCCTTTCAGCTACAAACATACCTCAGTGGACCGAGGCTCTGCCTCTAGTCCTACTAGGTATTCGTAACGCGTTGAAAGTTGATGCTGGATGCACTCCTGCAGAACTCGTCTATGGGACCACTCTTCGCCTACCAGGTGAGTTTGTTTCCCCTTCAACTTTCAAACATGTTTCCGACAGGGCATCTTACGTGACTAGGCTTACATACGCAATGCGTTCAGTTAGGCCTTCTCCGGTTAGACCTCAAACGACTGATGTTTTCGTTCACCTCAGTTTACAAAAGACATCACACGTGTTCATCCGCCACGACGCCGTTCGTCGACCACTTGAACCACCCTACGGTGAGCCATTCAAAGTGATTAAGCGACACGAGAAATTCTATATAATTGAGCGAGACGGACGTGAAGATACTGTCAGTACCGACCGTTTGAAACCAGCTTATTTCAAAGGCAACCCCATTATAAGTGACGTTTCAGCTCGCTATAGCCGACCGACGGATAGCCCAATTATCAGAATTCTTGATGATGTGCCTGGTAATGCACAGTTACAATAACCATCGGCGCAACGGAAAACACGATCAGGTCGAACCGTCAGGTTCCCGGAGTATTTGAAGTCGTTTACAACTTAGTGGTGTGAAATAAGATGTGCCAACCACTTTTTTTTAATTCAAAATTTTTTTTCGGGGCACTATTTTTCTTATTTACCGGCGATGCGAAAATTCTAGTACATCTTACCTTTTTATATCAATTTCTATTACCATGTAATGAAACTTTTCTTTAAAAACGGTGAAAATAAGCGTAAACTTTATTTTCGATATATTGATACATAAATAATTCCCATTTTTACGAGACGTTTTCATAGTATTAAAGACTTATTAATATTCAAGGTGCAACGAGCACTGAACGGATGTCGAAGAAAAATGAGGGCCGCGATCCACGTACAATTCGATTTATTGTATTTCATTTTTCACTCGCCACGACATCCTAGAATAAGTTCAGACAACCAGGGGCTACTACACGCAGTGAGCCCATCGGAAGAGTTTTACCAGTGGAGAAACCAATGGGTTTTCACTACCGGCTGGTACAGTCTTAGAGTTCTCACGAACCCACTAGGAGGGGAGTGACCTGTAGCGTCACACATTTCCCTAAAATCAATAGCCTAGGGTTTGACGACTTTCGACATTGATGCTGACCTTGATAGTTTAACTGGACTCACTAAGCTGAAGGCACCCGGTCAAGCATCCTCGCCATTTGGCACGCTGTCGTGTTACGCTGCACTGCTCGTATTCGACTCTCGAACCAGTTAGTTGGAACGCATCGGTATCTTGGGACAACCACCCAAATATACTATTCCATCCGACTACGCTATCGTGTTCTTCCTTGGTCTCGTATTCGTGGGTATATAACTAGTCCGAATTAGTGATTGGTCTTTGCGTCTGTCAAGTTCGCACCAGGACAATTCTTAAACTCTTATGGGTATCTCTCACCACGTTGGTATTACAGGATACAAATGGGAGAACCTTCATAGTTTACAAACAACATGGTAAAATCCCTCTGCAGTCAGCTGAATAAACATTTTTACTGAATTCGTTTTTTTTCATTACCACCAGATTAAAGTTTCATTGCCCATCTTATTAGCATACTTTCACCTTAACTGACACTGCTCCGGAGACGCTCTAAATGAGGAGCGACCCGAATACTGACAGGATTTTGACAGGCAGTTGATACTTTCCAGCTGCCCACACCACTGAAAGTCAAAATTTCTTGAGGTAAATGAAACAGAAATTTGGTTAGTAACAGTGACGTGTGACTGCGAAGCTCAAGAGGCATCTGTTTAAGGGCGGTTACACATGACCTCTCTGAAACCTTGGTATTATTTCTGATTCTGCTAGAACCAATTACAAAATTCATACCACTGGCAGAGGAAGACCACGGAGTAGAAGTGCTGTGTTGGAGGTCAACTTTTGCTAATCTCCCCTCCTCATTGAGAAGGCAGTATTAGCATAGAACTGTTGGACATCCACAGAAAATATCTTGCTACTATCAGCCCCGTCTAATCAGTAGGATAACTTCACCCTCGAACCCAGCTATTTACACCATAACAACAACTTTTTACCTCACTAATATCCACCAAGCGTTTCTAGATAGGTACTACCTGAAGCATAGTTTTCTAGGTCACTGTGATGTGCAAACCTTAACGCTTTTTAGGGCAGCAGTTATTGGTCACTTATGCACTGTACAACTGAATAGTCAAGTGATGACTAAAAAGAGCAGTGACTGATTTTTGTTCAGAACACAGGAAGGAAATCAAAGGAAGCGCCATATAAAATAGGAATAGTGAGACTCATCGTTGTCTCCTTGTAGTCTCTGCTTACGTATCCACTGACAATAAAGTAAAGTATGAGTGTCCCACACCCATCTATGCTGCCACTGAAAACCGAACATTGAGTATGAACACATAGAACTGTACAGCAAGACAATGGAGATGAATGTTTCTGAGTCATACACCGAAATACTTGCCTCAAGAAAACGAAAAGAGGGTAGTAAAAACTTACAGAGTCAATTTGGTTACAGTGTAAATGGATCGTTTTGAGTTTCGGTAATCGTTTAGGTAGCCACTTCGGAATTGATGTGAGTTTGTTATCGTTGGCTTTTAATACCTGTGAAGTAAAGTAACCCAAAGTAAACGTACCATCAAATTTGACAAATTCTGAATGCCGTCTAAAGTCGTTATCAAGTTTTGTGAAATATTTAAGACCGTAAGATGACAAAGACTTGATAAACCAGTGATTTTGCAGACACGATTATAGGAAACATTCAATTGCTTCAACTCTGTGAACTGTTCTAAGTTTTCTATTTTCTCAATTTTATAGTCACTGTTTCTGGCCGACAGATTGATTGCATATACGCGTATTGGGTTTTCTGAACTAGTCTTTTTCTTCAGCAAATTAGGTGTCATGTACTGGACGAATATGTGTTCTTGAAAGTTATATTTGAAAAGTTTATTTGTTCATACCTTTTGAGTTATTTAATGACATGAAGACACTTTGCACACTGAAAACATAAACTTCAAATCTCACAGCAATGATGAACTTTATCAGTCGCTCTCAATCAATGACCTAGAGTACATTGAGTCTTATATCGTTCTAATCACTAAAACAACCTTAAAGGTGGCAGTTCACCACTGCAAAAATAATGATCGCACGTCTAGTGAAGAACCAAAACCATGAATTTTCTTCCAATATCCAATATTGATAGTGCGAGCGTAGAAAACTGGTAGTTTTTGATCTCTCGCGTCTAGTTCTTAGGGCTTGGTTCCAGTTGTTCGGTTCACTCCTGCAGTGGACGAGGAAATACCCTCTGCTTTCTTGCTTTTAGCTTCGGTGAGGTGGATGTTTTGTGGGTTAGTAGGTTGTAATTTGTAAAATGATTAGGGAGCTACGGGTTGCTGGGAAGTTTAGAGAACAACCGTGACTCCTGTCTGTGTAGGTACCTGAAAGAGAATAGTAAGGTAGTGGTAAAGGAATGAAGAGAGAAATAAGGAAGAGAAAAAAATAATAGTAATAATAATGTAGGGAAGAGAAAAGGGAAGGAGAAGAAAAGAAGGGGTGAAGAGAGAAATGAGAACGAAAGAAAAGTATTTGGGAATTGCCCGAATGGTCGCGTGGGTTTGGTTCCTACAGAAGAATTAGTAGGTAATGTGGGTGTATTAAGGAGAGAGATAGTGAGTAGTAGTTAGGAGGGAGTTGGGAGTTTAACGGTTCCAGGTTACTGATGTGTTCCGATTCAACAGGTCTACCCACTCCAATATCCAATATCTTTTTAACGAGCTTGTGTAATCCAGTTGATTTCTTCGCGCTCGCTTCTTGGCCTTGCGGAACGGCTCCAGATCTTTGGCGGATAGTTTGCTGTAACTCGAGTATACCCGACGAGTGGTTGGGTGTTGACTAGGTATGTAGTTATTTAGTTTGTTAAAAGACCGTGGTGCAGACAGGTTACTCAGATTTCATGTCACTGGACAGTTATTTGGGCTGGTTATACAGAGACGAAAAAATAATATGGAAGGAACAGAGAATCCTAGATAGATCCAGGGAAGACAGGAAATGTAACCCTGATAAGGAGAACCTCAATAATTAGGGTGAAATCATGCAACCACCGAGATGAGAATGAACAGGGAGGATAAGAGAAGGAATGATAGGAATAGAAGCGGTATTGTTATCGACAAGGTTATGCTAACTTAGGTGATGCCTAACATAAAAGTGCAAGGTAGAGTCCGTTTGCCGGTGATAGTGGTGGTGCAAATATTCAAAACAAGTTGGTTGTACCCACCTGATCTTTTATTCTGAGTACAGCGTAGTGGATCTGCACACTTGTTTCAGGTTAATGAAGGCCTGTCTTGCTTTCCCGATCCTGGTTTTGACATGCTCATCTGTGTTGCCGCCCGTAGTTGAGACGACACTGCCTAGGTTGGTGGTGTAGGTGATGGTAGTTGCCGTTTGTTGTTGTTGTTGCTAGTTGGGTATCTTCATCACCTCTCTCCTCCCTACGTTCACCTGGAAGAAGCCGCGTCTTCACTGCCCTGCCTTGCCTCTTCTACGAACTTGTTAGTTTTTGCCTGTAGATCTTTGAATTTGTGCCACATTCGACATGAATCGTCATCGGCAAAATCCAAATCTCCTGAGGTCTTTTCATCGGTCCAATGTATGCCCATCTTCTCGCTCCTCAGTTTGTTGCAGGATCCAGTGCAGTCGATCACAATCAGGAGGATCATCGGTGATAGCAAGGAACCTTACCTAACTCCTGTCTTCACTTCAAAGGCATCACTGAGCTCACCATTGTGAATCACTTGACGTGTGGCATCATATAGCATACAGCTGTTGAGTGAGGTTGATGGGGGTTTGTGACGCTAAAACCGCAGTGTTGAGGCAGCTGTCAAGCTAGTTCTTGGTCGACACTATCGAAGGCCTTTACAAACTCGATGAAGTTCAAGTAAAGAGTTGACTGCCACTCTACGCTCTGTTCTGTGGTGATGCTTAGCGCTGCAATTTGATCCACACATGACTTGGTTTCCCTGAGATCAGCCTGTTCCGGTCGTAGTTTTGAATCCAGAGCATTTTTTAGTCTCTCCAGGATGATGTGGCTTAATATTTTGCTTGGGGCGGACAGCAGCATGATTCCGCTCCAGTTCTTGCAAAGACTTGGGGGTTTGACGAGGTAGCCCTTCTTCCAATCGGCAGGTACCTTTCCTTCCTTCCTTTCAAACCTTCTGCACTAGTGGTCTGAACATATCCGCTGTTGTCTCTGCGTCTGTTTCCAGTGCTTCTGGCCGAATTCCATCTGGTCCTGTTGATTCCCGGCTTTCAGCAGCTTTATGGCGTTCAGTTCTGCAAATATGGCAACATCGAAATTGTTAGTTTTGAGTTGGACGAACTAGTTGCTGGTTTTTGATTTCTTAGCACCAGCTGTCTATTTAGGTGTTAAGGTTTTATTCATCCATCAGTGAATTAGAAACCTTAGGTGCTTCAAAATACACTTAATAGTACTGAATCACTTTTCAGTTAGTTAAGGAGATATTTTGTAGTGACTAGTCTAACAATGTAACATTTTTGGGCTTGCGGAAGAAATCTTTTCTGTTTATCAGAATCAGTTGGTTAGAAATAATATCTTTCTGTAGTATGTCAAGTTTTTCCAACGTGTGATGCCATGTCATGCAAGTGTCTAAGGGAAAGATTTTGTTATTTTCGTAATGTAAAATCATGTAGCTTTATGGCTGGATTTCGTACTAAGACTGGAATTCTCGGATCTATACAGGATGAACAAGAATTGTAACTTTGACTCGTACACTCACACAGTCAAGTAATTCTAAGCAGTTTCCAAATAGTTCAATTAGTCTCAGTCGCACTATTTTAAATGTCTGTATCTACAGTATTACAGCCCCTGTAGAATTTAAAAGGATAAGCAATATTATTGTGATATCGGCCATAGTAGCACAAGACTATGGCAATGACTGAAAATGTCATGATGCACAAGTACGAGTGCTGTGGATGAAATAAATTCGCCTTTTGGACATTATGGCTTGGTGAAGCCCAGGTGGTGGGCATCTCTAGATTTGCATCCGCTGGCGAAAATTATAGGCAGAAAATGTCCTACCTACAGAATTCGATATTTTTTCTTCAGTCTATAAATATGAAGTCTTTAAAATTTCAGAACTCACACTCAACTACTTAATTACCGAGATACGATTAAGATTTAACGTTCGGAAAGAAACGAAAATACTAGCAGTAATCGTTAGTCCAAGATTGGCATTGTCGTGTATAATACGTCTTCAAGTGGTACTGTATGCTGATTATTGTTGTATTCATTGTTTACAGTTAGTGATATTCAATCCATTTTGTGAGTTACTGTTTAAAAATTCATTTTATCTAACTTCGACGTAGACAACTTAATAAGTAGTTGTAGTTCTCACAGACAGAAAGAGACGAAATCAGCATCGAACCTCTCACTCAAGTACATCAGTTCAAGTTGCCATACTTCAAAGTAGTATACACAGGACAGGTGGATAGAAAAATAGTGGTATAAAAGTGACCAAAGTTGTGTGAGAGAACAAAATATTCAAAGATAACGGTTAGTGCCAATAATCAGGCATTATAAGATGGAATAGAGTAATTACATCTGCACAGTTGTGATTGATTTCCAGCCATGTCACCTAGAGTCCTCAATCACCGATTCCTGTCGTTTCGATGACCCCAGCCAGGTAGTCTACATATTCCAACACGACTTCATGCACTGGTGCTATGTCGATTTGGCCACCCTGAACCCTCTTCCAACCTGATCGAACTTCTAGTACTGTACTTTGAGGTAGGGGGTGGATCTGCATACGCAACACACGTCCAAGCCATCTCAGTCGACTGAGGTTTACAACCTCACCAATCGACTCATCTTCCCTGCCAAGCACCCTTCGCGTGACCTTAATATTGCTCACTCGGTGATACCATCAAACGCGAGCAATGGTAGGAAGACATCTGTGATCGAAACCTTGTAACCGCTCCACGTCTTCTACTTTTAACGGCCATGTCTCACAGTTGTATAACAGAACAAAACGAACTGCAGCCCAGTTTACTTCTCCTTTGGTGGATAATCGAATATCTCACTAGTTGGCGCCATGGTTGACGCAATTTGGTAAACGTCAGACGGTCCTTCTGTATCCTAGCTGGGATTTCATCAGCGAGCAGTTCGTTTGGGTTGATGCAACTCCCGAAGTAAGTGAAGTGGTTGACACATTCCATCACTTCAATCCCAGCATAAAACTAGTTCTAATATGATAGCATAGTTATTGATCGTCAAGTTGTAGTATAAATGCACATTAAAGAAAAATAAGCTTGGCAGTACTATATTGCAATAGTTGCTTTTTATGCTTCACACGTAGACGGTTTAAGACTAACGTTTCATAAATGTGTGTTTATATTCTGATCTAAATCTGCTCTTTTAATATCAGTGATTTAGTGTGATATTTACATTTTCTAAACTCAGTTTCTTGATAGTCCATTCACTGCATGAATGTGTTTGTATTTCATTAATTTAAAATAATTGACGATGTAAATTTGAAGATCTCCTGGGTTATTCCATAATATTTTACCACTTTCTATTTCTACAGCTTCACCGAATAACATACTTAAGGTCATTGTCAAACCTTACAGTTTTCACATTCGAAGGCAATCCGGCTGCTGATCAACTTTTAGTAAATACGTATAACAGTTGCAGCAGTGACGATGGATCTGTGGTAAAGAACGCTATCGAGAAATTTGACTCCAAATCAATCTACCGAATATTTGTTATATTTCATTTATGCTCACTCGTGTTACTTGATAACAAAGAGATTCTTCCATTTGAAAGACAAGTGGCTGAACAACGTTACTCTCAGGGTAAGACTGCAAATGACATCAGGATCATTACTAATTAATATATTGCAATGAAATACAATGTATAATAAGCACTCACTTTTCTTCTGTTCAGTTGAAGTATCTAGGTATTTAAAGAAGCTAGACAGATATGAGAATCGGCTAAATGAAGTAGAAACCAAAAAATCGTTATTGGAGAAGGATTTGTTTGATCAACAGTCCAGGCTAGATGAAACTTTAAGAGAAAGGAATGTGGAGAATAAATTGATAACCGAATTGGAGGAAGAGCTGCGTGCTAAGGACAAATTGGTAATATGAATTTTTCGTGTCTTCTCAACTGCATTTTATCATTTGTTAATGTGAATATATCTGTTTCCTCTAGCATAGATTTAAAAAATTTCGTTTTGAGCTTCAAATCCTTGTTTTCGTTTGCGAAACGTTTCCTAATCTCGTATCACATCAGTCTAGCAAAGTGATATATACAGTATTAGGCTATGGCTCATTCGTTTGGTTAGCCATAATTTTGAAGCCTGCTACATTTATCGAATTTTGGGAAACCAGGTAATGTCACAAACCCTCAGTCTCTGGTGCAATTATCTGTACATGGCCGCTTAATTACGCATGCACAGCAACACCTGAAATTCAGAAAGACCATTTACGTTAAGGTTTTGAATTTATTAAACTTAAACTGATTTTGATTCACCTGAATATATTACAAGACATCACGCTGGACAGGACTTAAATCGGCACTAAAATCGAATATTCTAACTGATCATTTACCCGATTATTTTCAGTCATTCACTACTTGGATTTGAGTATCGAGTAAAATAATTTCATTCTCGATACTAATGGTCTATCCACCGAAATACTTGCCTCAAGAAAACGAAAAGAGGGTAGTAAAAACTTACAGAGTCAATTTGGTTACAGTGTAAATGGATCGTTTTGAGTTTCGGTAATCGTTTAGGAATCCACTTCGGAATTGATGTGAGTTTGTTATCGTTGGCTTTTAATACCTGTGAAGTAAAGTAACCCAAAGTAAACGTACCATCAAATTTGACAAATTCTGAATGCCGTCTAAAGTCGTTATCAAGTTTTGTGAAATATTTAAGACCGTAAGATGACAAAGACTTGATAAACCAGTGATTTTGCAGACACGATTATAGGAAACATTCAATTGCTTCAACTCTGTGAACTGTTCTAAGTTTTCTATTTTCTCAATTTTATAGTCACTGTTTCTGGCCGACAGATTGATTGCATATACGCGTATTGGGTTTTCTGAACTAGTCTTTTTCTTCAGCAAATTAGGTGTCATGTACTGGACGAATATGTGTTCTTGAAAGTTATATTTGAAAAGTTTATTTGTTCATACCTTTTGAGTTATTTAATGACATGAAGACACTTTGCACACTGAAAACATAAACTTCAAATCTCACAGCAATGATGAACTTTATCAGTCGCTCTCAATCAATGACCTAGAGTACATTGAGTCTTATATCGTTCTAATCACTAAAACAACCTTAAAGGTGGCAGTTCACCACTGCAAAAATAATGATCGCACGTCTAGTGAAGAACCAAAACCATGAATTTTCTTCCAATATCCAATATTGATAGTGCGAGCGTAGAAAACTGGTAGTTTTTGATCTCTCGCGTCTAGTTCTTAGGGCTTGGTTCCAGTTGTTCGGTTCACTCCTGCAGTGGACGAGGAAATACCCTCTGCTTTCTTGCTTTTAGCTTCGGTGAGGTGGATGTTTTGTGGGTTAGTAGGTTGTAATTTGTAAAATGATTAGGGAGCTACGGGTTGCTGGGAAGTTTAGAGAACAACCGTGACTCCTGTCTGTGTAGGTACCTGAAAGAGAATAGTAAGGTAGTGGTAAAGGAATGAAGAGAGAAATAAGGAAGAGAAAAAAATAATAGTAATAATAATGTAGGGAAGAGAAAAGGGAAGGAGAAGAAAAGAAGGGGTGAAGAGAGAAATGAGAACGAAAGAAAAGTATTTGGGAATTGCCCGAATGGTCGCGTGGGTTTGGTTCCTACAGAAGAATTAGTAGGTAATGTGGGTGTATTAAGGAGAGAGATAGTGAGTAGTAGTTAGGAGGGAGTTGGGAGTTTAACGGTTCCAGGTTACTGATGTGTTCCGATTCAACAGGTCTACCCACTCCAATATCCAATATCTTTTTAACGAGCTTGTGTAATCCAGTTGATTTCTTCGCGCTCGCTTCTTGGCCTTGCGGAACGGCTCCAGATCTTTGGCGGATAGTTTGCTGTAACTCGAGTATACCCGACGAGTGGTTGGGTGTTGACTAGGTATGTAGTTATTTAGTTTGTTAAAAGACCGTGGTGCAGACAGGTTACTCAGATTTCATGTCACTGGACAGTTATTTGGGCTGGTTATACAGAGACGAAAAAATAATATGGAAGGAACAGAGAATCCTAGATAGATCCAGGGAAGACAGGAAATGTAACCCTGATAAGGAGAACCTCAATAATTAGGGTGAAATCATGCAACCACCGAGATGAGAATGAACAGGGAGGATAAGAGAAGGAATGATAGGAATAGAAGCGGTATTGTTATCGACAAGGTTATGCTAACTTAGGTGATGCCTAACATAAAAGTGCAAGGTAGAGTCCGTTTGCCGGTGATAGTGGTGGTGCAAATATTCAAAACAAGTTGGTTGTACCCACCTGATCTTTTATTCTGAGTACAGCGTAGTGGATCTGCACACTTGTTTCAGGTTAATGAAGGCCTGTCTTGCTTTCCCGATCCTGGTTTTGACATGCTCATCTGTGTTGCCGCCCGTAGTTGAGACGACACTGCCTAGGTTGGTGGTGTAGGTGATGGTAGTTGCCGTTTGTTGTTGTTGTTGCTAGTTGGGTATCTTCATCACCTCTCTCCTCCCTACGTTCACCTGGAAGAAGCCGCGTCTTCACTGCCCTGCCTTGCCTCTTCTACGAACTTGTTAGTTTTTGCCTGTAGATCTTTGAATTTGTGCCACATTCGACATGAATCGTCATCGGCAAAATCCAAATCTCCTGAGGTCTTTTCATCGGTCCAATGTATGCCCATCTTCTCGCTCCTCAGTTTGTTGCAGGATCCAGTGCAGTCGATCACAATCAGGAGGATCATCGGTGATAGCAAGGAACCTTACCTAACTCCTGTCTTCACTTCAAAGGCATCACTGAGCTCACCATTGTGAATCACTTGACGTGTGGCATCATATAGCATACAGCTGTTGAGTGAGGTTGATGGGGGTTTGTGACGCTAAAACCGCAGTGTTGAGGCAGCTGTCAAGCTAGTTCTTGGTCGACACTATCGAAGGCCTTTACAAACTCGATGAAGTTCAAGTAAAGAGTTGACTGCCACTCTACGCTCTGTTCTGTGGTGATGCTTAGCGCTGCAATTTGATCCACACATGACTTGGTTTCCCTGAGATCAGCCTGTTCCGGTCGTAGTTTTGAATCCAGAGCATTTTTTAGTCTCTCCAGGATGATGTGGCTTAATATTTTGCTTGGGGCGGACAGCAGCATGATTCCGCTCCAGTTCTTGCAAAGACTTGGGGGTTTGACGAGGTAGCCCTTCTTCCAATCGGCAGGTACCTTTCCTTCCTTCCTTTCAAACCTTCTGCACTAGTGGTCTGAACATATCCGCTGTTGTCTCTGCGTCTGTTTCCAGTGCTTCTGGCCGAATTCCATCTGGTCCTGTTGATTCCCGGCTTTCAGCAGCTTTACTGCGTTCAGGACTTCGCTTCTGTTTTTCTCGCAGGGTCTTTGTTCACTGATGGTTCTGCGGCTGTGCTACCTGCGGTATTTCTGGACGCATTGCTTGTGGTGGCTGTAGTTCCCTTGTTTTTCTTTTTTTGTAAGTAAGTTTCCTCCGCTATCTTTCATTTGCTTCACCTGGTTGATCTCTTGTCAGATATTAGCCCGTCCATTCGATATGATTTTTTCAGGTCTCTCTTGCCTGTAGCCTGTTCTTCTTTGGCTGCTAGTGTATGGTAGAAGTACTTTTGTCTTTCCGTGCACTCTTTTTCACTTCTTTGTCCACTGTTTTGCATTTGGCACCTAGTTCCTGTCTTCGCTTTTAACCGCCACACTGCACTAATTCATCTTCCACTCCTCTATCAGCTTCGATGTGCCCGTGGAGGTCCATTTATTACCTTCCTTCTTCTCCTTCCATGTTTATGCCTTTGTGCAGGTTTCCTTCCACAGCGCTTTCATAGAGTTCCAATGTTCTTAGATGCAGCTTTCCCCTGGTATGCTGCCTAATGCCTCCCGTTTCTTCCTGATGATTGAAGTGAAGATGTACCTTGTGGTTTCGCCCTTCAGTTTCTAAGTGTTGATCTTGAACTTTGATCTATGACCAGCTTCTTTGAATGCTTTCAACTTCATTTGGAGGGTTCCTGGAGCTAGATAGTGAGTGGTGTGAACCTACACACCTGCTCCTCTACTTGAATTTGTGTCTAGTAGGCTGCATCTCTACTTTTCTCGGATTAAAATGAAGTCAACCTGATTTTTCATGTTTCCATCTGGCGAAATCCAGGTCATTTTGTGAGTATCCTTGGGTTTGTACACGCCGTTTCCACTCATTGAACCATCATAGGTATAGAAGCCTGCAAAAACAGTTCTCCGTTCCCATTCATCATTTCACTGACTGCGTCTCGACCCTTGACGACTTCTCTTCGTGTGTTGTCTGCTCCTAGTCTGGCATTGATGCTGCTTATGAGGGTCACTGCTGATTGCAGTCGTCAGCAGAATTCCTCCTTCTGCTCGTGGCATGCATTGTTTGTAGGCGCATAGTATTGGTATTGTATGATTGTAACATTCTTTCCTTTTGATTTGAATCTTACCGTCACGATCCTGGAGGAGACTGGTTCCCACTGCATGAGGGCCTTCGATGCTGTTGGGGACATTATGACAGCCACTCCAAAACTCAGTGTGCTCGTGGTTTTCGTCTGGGTGGCCAGAGTATTTTACCGACCCTCCAGTTATCAGTTTGAAGAGTCCACTCCCTTTTCGTCTGTTTTCGCGGATTCCTAGCACTGCTATTCCATATCTTCGCATTTCTCTTGCAATCCAGGCAGCCTCGCCAGCCAGCTTCAAACGTTGTTCGGGCATTCCACGCCCCTATGCTTGCTTTTGCTTTCATAGAGAGAAGACACATCCGACAACTGATTTCCTGAAGGTTTTCACCACCCATTGTCATCGCCTCTTCCCGATTCCTGTGGAGAATAAGTTTTTACGTTTTCTTTTGAAGTTTCTTTAGCGACCGGATTGATTTTCCAAGGTAGAGTCACTAGCCTTAACCCCAACCTTCCCTCCGTTCCCCGGGCCTAGGATCGGCTAGTAAACCTGGTGAGACACCGATGTCAGTTCAGCGTCTCTATATGGTTCACAGTCTTGGCGCGTTACGAAAAGCATTCCCAACAAACTGCAGACACATTGACAGCTACTCCCCACACTCACTTCATACTGAAGATCAGATAGCCGGAAAGAATAGGCAACAGGGAACTCTGACTGGCAACAAACCAGTCAAACAACAACCCTTCGCCAAACAAATATATTGAAGAAAGTGGAGATGCATGGGATTGGACATACACTGAGAAGACATCGCGCACCACGCTAGGCCCTCGAATGGAACCCGAATGGGGAGCGACCAGTTGAGCGCCTTAGCGTGACATGGAGATCATGTGAGGAAGAAATGAAAGCTTGTGGGTAGTTGTGAAGCCAGGTTAACAAGACTACAGAGAATAGAGTGAAATGGTGACGTGCTACTGAAGCCCTACGTTCCACTAGGAACCCAAAGGACAAAAATAATAAACGATAAATATTTGCAGCTTATATCTATTCTTATGTTTATCTCCCACGGGGCAGAATGCTTCTCAGAGCCAGAAATCTCTCAGCATCCTTAGCCGAACCCAGGGTCATCTGCACCGGTGGAGGCTCTCTTTGAATTGAATACGTACTTATGTAGGGCTGGTGTAGCTTTCGTCCTAGGCTGCCTATTCCCAGCATGGAGTATATCGTTCCCCACTATTGTTTACTCAACGATTTCTTTTTCCCCAGGAGATTATAGTATCAAACAAGAAGGTTAAATAAATTGAAGGAGTTTGACCCGTCATCGTCGTTCCCGTTGTCGTGTACCGTGAGTGGGTTTTATGGTAGGGGCGTGCCTTCTTTTGCACTGGGACCCATTTTCCCCAGTGTACAGCCGGGGTATCTAGAAAAGCTTCAGAATTTTAGGCCGATGTGGTCGGTCTTATATCTGGTCATCGTTTAGCTATTTGCGGACTCTTCAGGGGTGTAACCGTCCGAAGAATGATACTAACACCCCTGTTTTTTGAATTCTCACCTTTGGTGGTGGTTTGTAAGCCAGCCGGCTTTTGGGCAGCCATTT